CATATTTACCAAAGGGGCAAATAATTCTGACCAGTACATATGAGTTTAAATCTTATAAATGTAAATATAAATATAAAAATTATTCAAATCTATTATGTTGGGGTCCCACTGAAAACTGAGATTTTAGCTTTAGCTCTTACTTATCCTTAATGCTCCTGAGCTTTGAAACCCAGCAAAAGGGATAGAGTCCTTGGGATAGAGTTTCATCTCTGTTTTGAAGGCCTAACACAGTTGTCACGGTTTGCTGAAACAGGGAATGTGACGTGCATGTGCGGTGCAGATGTTGGATTCTTGGTGTAGATGAAAGTGTGGTGGCATTGGATTGGCATTCTGTGACCACTCAGACCTCCCTGAGCTGTTTACTCACACACCCACATGACGGATCCAATCTTCATTATAGTATCACACAATGAGAGTGGGTCTACAGACATTGGTTATGGATTGAGTCCTATTCTCCATTTGTGCTTTTACTCCAGGGGGTGAAGTGCTCTCACTGAAGCACACATGTAAGGGGATACCCCTCCATCCAGGATCCACGGACCAAAGCTGTGCAGACAGATATTTCCACTGTATGGAAGTGGCTCAAACCAAGCCAAAATGACTTTTTAATATATGCAAATCCCTCTTTATGTTGCTCTGAAATAATAATCAAGCTCCAGAATTCAAATCTCATCCATATTGTATGCAGCTTGTGGAATAAGCTGTCACACAAACATTCTTTTTCCGTTTTTCTGCCAAGTTCTGTAAACGGAGTTCTTGAATCACGTTAATTCTGTGATTTTACATATAATCCAATGAAAAGTTATTCAAAGAACATGATTTATGATCAGAGGACTTTTTTTTTAATCTGAAACAGATTTGCTGATGTTTGAAACAGGAGTAGGGTGTGTTTTTTAGAGCTGAAGAGCTCAATGTCCATACTTTTATTATATCTTACCACCACCAGGAAGAGGATTTGAATGCTAAATTGTAGAATTAATCATTGTCACAGTTGTAGTCATTTGCAAACAGGGCTCAACAAGGATGTCCGAAATCGTACTGTTTTAAAGCTTATGACACTATTTCCTCTCAATATGGCACTTGTTAACCTTAAATCTTCCTGAACCAGTGCAAAATCTCCTTTGTGGTGTAAATCCTCTGTGAGGAATTCTGCATTAGCAATCTTCAGACACATGTTTAACCCAAATACCACACAGGCATTACATAGGAAAACTTTCTCAGGATATTTTCTTAAGACAAACATTTCTTTGTTGTTGCTTTGAAAGAAGAGGAAATAAGTGGCAGAATGCTTTATTTTTATATTGTTTGCTAAGTTATTGTGTCATTGCAACACCTCATTGTGAATTTTTAGAGGAATTCAGTTTGAATGAATGCACCTGCAGACCTTTCATTCTTTACAGGCTCATTAGACAGAGCATATCCGTTAAGAGGCAGTCTGGGGGAAAACAATACAAGATGTCTTTATGTGAAGGGTTACCTGGTTGTCACCTCATTATGCCTACAGGCCTGTATTACACACATGTGTATGTGTGAGCTCTAAATCTTTGAATAGGGACGAATGCACACAGCAGGGGATGATGATTCTAAGGTGGCATAGATGACGATTACAATGGAACAAAAACAGTGGCTAGACTCGTCGGTGCATGTCCTACTCATCGTATTTCTGTCATTGCTCTACGTATTGAGACAACAAACCTCACACTCACTCACGATCAAACACACCAAACGCCTGGCACGCAACAGCATTTGATTGGCACAATATTGGGGAACTATAGTTTGAAACTGATCTTTTTCAAGTTCTGAAGCGACTCCTAATTCAAAGCAGCATAGTGAAGCTAACCTTTTGAAAAAGTGAAAAAGTGAGAACTTTATAAACTATAATCACTGGTTTCCAGTACAAACTCAAGCACCTGTTCTCTTATATTGAAATCCTCTGACATTTTTTTTGTTGTAAATTCTCGTTTTTTAGACTTCTAATTCGTGACCAGTGTTTTGTTTTGCACTATCCTCTGTGCTTCTGCGTTCATCAATACATCACGTGTCGGGTCGGAGGTCACTCTTCCGCCAGAACTAGATTCACGTATTTTACTGGAAGCCAGTGAAATAGTAGAGTATTTTTCTTACAAAAAAGCATTGCTTCGCTTCAGAAGGCCTTTATTTAACCCCCTGGAGCCGTATGGATTACTTTTATGATGGATGGATGCACTTTTTTGGGGCTTCAAAATCTACCATTCACTCCCATTATAACGCTTGGAAGAGCCAGGATATTTTTTTATATAACTCAGATTGTGTTTGGCTGAAAGAAGAAAGTCATATACACCTAGAATGGCTTGAGGGTGAGTTTATGGGATAATTTTATTATTGGGTGAACTTAAGTTTTGTTTACGAAACATCACAAAAAGATCACAAGTCACGGTACTGGGAAAAGTAGCTCTTTACTTTAAAAGCTATACACAGCTGAACTACTGTCACACTGCTAAAACAATGTTTAAAGAAGTGAAGAAAAGGAACAAAAGAAACATCCACCAGTGGTATACGACAACAAAAGTTGAACAAGACATATTTTTAATTTTGCTTTTTTGTATTATTAGTACATGCTTAGCGTTGCCAATGTATCCAGTGAACAAAGGCCTGTTCCAGTGTATGCAGTGTTGTGTGTCTGTGTATGCCTGAGAGCTAAATTAGTAAATGTCTTGTTAATGATTTACATATATAAACTATAACCTTACCACAGAACTCCAAATGACACTTTGTACTACAAAACTTGGAAAGACTGTACAGTAGATGCATGATTTCCTTTCTAAAGAAAGTTTTGTTTTTTTAAACCACGTAAAGCAAGAAAATGTTTTCTGCCATGGTGGCAGATACAAAGATGTCAGGATTATTCTCATTTAAAATAGCTCTAAACATTTTTTTTTTTACAACCAATGTTGATGCAAACATACAAAACAAAGTGAAGTAACAGCTGGTCAAACGGCAGTGACTAATATCCGTTCTCTCTCTTTTGACCTCCTCCAAAGCTGTAAATGCATTAGTTTGGCCAGTCACAAAAGGACATGTTTACCTGAACTTCACTCCAATACATCACCTGTATTGACCAGTGTCCTGACCCAGCTGACAGTGTTTACTCAAGACCACAGGCTGTCTATTTGCTTTCTCCTCCGGTGAAGCTCTCCAGCGCATGTGCCCAGAGGTGATGTTCACCCTAAGGAGGTCACATACTTGGGCCACCCAGCAAGAAACACATCACCTGGAAATAAGAGCTCTGATGAGCCACAGCTGGAGGATCTTCTGCTCAAGAGGTAATTCATGGTGTAATATGCCATTTCTAGAACCGTGAACATTTCCAGGTCTGGTGTATGGAAATCATTACTCTAGTTTTGTTAGAGTTCCGCTTCAGATCGTCAGCGTCAAACAAAAATTCACTATACTCCTCTCTGGTGACGTATGCAGGAATGCTATAAGAATATCATCTTACGGTTTGGCCACATAACAACATTTGCACAAAATTGCATATTTTTGTTTAGTGAATAAAAAGTGTTAATTTTCCACCTCAAGTATGCTCCATATTATCACTATATTATACTATATGGGCCATAAAAGCTTGATGTATCAAATATGATAGAAAATATAAAACACATATACAAACCTTTTTTGAGATTTTGTATTAAACTTAAATAAACCGTTCTATTTCTGACAATTATGTCAAGCTTTATAGTATTCAATACACTGAAGGTGCTGGAACCCTTATTGTGTTTGTACTGATTGTCTTCTTCTTCTTCCTTATTTTGCTTGGTGTATGGGCGACAAAGACCGTAAATCGCAGAGACCCCAAAATTGAGAGGATGTTCCCAATTGTGCACCCCTACTCAGACGCACAGACACACACCCGTCTGACTCTAGGTGGTAGCTACTATAATAAATCCATGAAGTTTAAAATTGGTGTGCAGCTTATTTGGTGGACATCCTAACTTATAGACCAAGATACGTAAAAAACAAACATGGCCACCAGCAGTCAATCAAATTTCAGCAGCTAATAACAGCAAATCTGAATGGCCTGTTAATGTATATTTGTACATTGTGTGAAAATCAATATATGTACCAAATGTAGTTCAAATCGGCCTCAAGGTGGCACTATAATAAGCTACTTTACATTAGAGCTATTAACTCCGCAATTGTGTATGACGGAATCAAAATTCTTGTTTCTTCTGAATTTCTTTAAGCCACAACAATAGCAAATCTAATTTTTATGATTAAACTTTATGCCATTTTATTTTGTAAAAAAAAAAAAAAAAAAAAACCTCCTAGGTGGTTTGTCAGACCTTCACCAAACTTTACACACATCAGCTTTAGACCATGCTGGTAAAAAGGTATATCAAAAGAATGTTGATTAGGCTATAGCAGATTTGATTTTTTTATATATGTGTCTGATATGACTCATATGACTATTAGCCTATGTCGTGGTGTGTGCACAAAGTCACACCATGTAAATATAGAAAACAAGTCATTCTGAGCAAACATGTTTTGTTTCATGAATTTCTGATGCAGGCTAACAGCAAATTCTAAATAGGCTATCTATTTTTTATTATTGAAAAGTTGACTTTTTGAAATCCCAAACTTTAAGAACCATATAGTCTAACATTAATATTGGCACATGATAACTCTCTTGTAACTCTATTATAAAATCAGATTAAGAAACAAATTAAACTGAGTGTGATTATAGCCTATTGTATTAGACTACGTTTAATAGCATAGGCTAAAATTATCACAAATAATATATTGCAAATGTACATAAATATACAAGCATTCTTTGTTAATGAATATGATATGTAAATCACCTACATTACATAAAGAGTTAGCCTAAGTGCTAGAATTAGAAATATATCTGAGGACTGGAGTTGTGTATTAATCAGACGGTTATTTGAGAGGGCGCTACGCCTTTAAGAGTTTTCGAGCGCTGCCTGCGAAACTTTGGGAGCCCGTTGGACTGCTGCACTTTGGATAATGAAGGAAGTGACGAATCCGCAAGGACTAGGAGAGAGAGAAAAAAACTCCAGAGGAGAAAAACAGAAACTAAGATTGAAGTCAGCGTGAAGCGCAGTGTAGTGAATGAACGCGAGCGTCAGTAGCACGAGTCGGCAAGAGCTCACGAATCAAAGTTCCCTCAGTGAGAGGCGCGAAACGAGTGCAAACACCAGATTGATCCGTGTGTGACGCGACTCTCTTAAATATTTATTTGCCAAACGTGAAAAGTCTCTAGACCTGTTTTTAAAGGACTTTATGAATTCATTTGTATATCCAGCTTCCAAAAAATATGGATGAAGTTGTGAAAGTGGAGCGGCCGTGATGTTTTGAGGAGATAGCGGAGTCTATCTGAAGTCTTGTGGAATGAGTCGAACCGCATCAGCGACTGTAATTCCTGTGGATTCTCCTTCTGAGCCCGGAGTTTGACTTTTAGGATTATCTGGCATGTTTGCGAGGTGGATTTCACCGGGTTCAGTTCGGTTTACTGTGTTGGTTTTGCTGCTCACTGTGACAGTAACTCTCGGGTCTGCTTCTGAGCTGAAGGTGAAGGTTCGTTTGGCCGATGGACAGATTACAGATGAACTTCTGGAGGCGGACAGTGAAAAAGACTCCATCACTGTGGAGTTTAAACAAGGAGATGGGACTCTTATAACTTTTGTGGCCGATTTCAAACAGGTAAGTTGAAAACTATGGCCAGGATAACTGTATGTTTGTTTAATATGATTGTCACATAATATCACTGAAGTGTGCTGGAATGCATTATATTGCTTGACTTTTTTCATGAACCCGCCCCCCTTTCACAGTAACTTAGGTGTCTTATTAGTCTTATTTCATATTAAGGAACACTCCGAACTTAAGGACAAATGCTCTATTACTTTCAGACAAACTTGGTAAACAAAAAAATGCTATGTTCAATATATATGTTCAATATAAAATGCTGTGTTCAATATATAGGCTACATGTTCAATATAAAATACTTAAAAATTATTTTAAGAAGCAAAAAAACTATACATTTACATTTTATTAGTTGACCTGCTATGTAATCTTGCAAATTACAGTACATTCAAGGAATCTGCTCGACCTATTAGATTTGAATGATTTTACTTAAATTTCTAACTTTACTAGAAACATTTTTAGTAAATGGTTACATTTATATTTATTTATTTAATTAGCTTTAATCCAAATAAAATTACAGTAATGTGTCTGCTCAAAAAAAAAAAAAAAAAGGAGACAAAAAAGGGTTTGGGTCATTTTACCTACATTTCTAGCCTTTACTATATTTGTAATTTACCAGATCATCTACTGTAATAAAGCCTCAAATACTGGTAATTAAACTTGTAATTTTATGAAGTGGTTACTTTTCCTTCCTCGTGCCCGTGTCTCTGTGTAAAATCATCCACATTAGTGATGAACTTCTGACCTGAGGTCAGATTCTTTCACTGGTGATCATACCATCAGGATTAGCAGTGGCACTGTCACTGCCCTCATCCGCCTCAGTTCAGTCACGTCAGCAGCCCTCTGCCCCTCACGTCCCCTGATCCTCCACAGATGTGGTCAGTGTGGGGGTTTGGATCACATTTTTCCTCTTTTTATCAGTTCCACTGGCGGGCCTGTCTCCATTCTTCTCACATGTGGTTCTCATCTTGTATTTCCCCTGTATCTCAGGGATTTATGGAAAGTTGAATGAACGAGGACTCCCAGCTGCCTTTCTGGATTTACTGCACTGAAAGGGCTTTAACAGGGATGGAGGAAGACAAATATTCATTTATATTACTAAATAAAGTATGGTTATTCTGGTACCCTACCCGCCTAATCAGTTGCTAAGTGAACCCTCTGGATTTGATTTTTTTAGGTCAAACTGTTCTTGTCTGTCAGTCATATAATGCAGGTCTATGGTCACTTCCTCAAAGAGCATGCACAGAGAAGTCCAAATTAAACATGACTTAATGACTCGTAAATGTAAGTACACATTGATGGCCTAAGACACGAAACGAGCGGTTTGTGTGAGAAAACAAACAGTATTTATATCGTTTTTACCTTTTGTAACCACAGCCACGTCCAAGTGATCTGAGGGCGCGGGCGCTACGGTCTGTGCGTTACAAGAGGTAAAAACGATATAGCCTAAATACTGTTTGTTTTCTCACACAAACCGCTCGTTTCGTGTCTTAGGCCATCAATGTGTACTTACATTTACGAGTGATTAAGTCATGTGTAATTTGGACTTCTCTGTGCATGCTCTTTGAGGTGGTGACCATAGACCTGCATTATATGACTGACAGACCAGAACGGTTTGACCTAAAAATATCAAAATTGAAACTACTGCGGAAACAAAGACACCTACATCTTGGATGCCTTTAAGGTAAGCTAAAACATATCAAAAATTAATTTCAAAGTGAACTATCCCTTTAATGCCCCGATATATTAACGGCGAAGTTCTTTTTCGTTCTTGACTTAAAAGCCAAAAGAAGTTTGTGATACCTTTGCAGCGATATGCTGTTAATGAACATCCAGACGATATCCGATAAGAAAACATGCACATAATCTACAATGGAAACACATTTACAGAATACATTTCTCAATGCGCATAAAAAAAACATGTGACTTTGCAATGGGATGGCATAACTGGACCAACCAGTGGACTGATCTTATTGCGCAGCATCTGAAATGCTGTTTTGGTCATTCTGAAATGCCCGAGCAAAGTCTGTCGTCAAAGTGGTTTGGTATAATTACCTTCCAGAACACAACTTAAATGACTGCATTCCCAGACAGCAGCATCTGCCTCCAAAAGCAAGATAACATGACCGTGTTTATTGCGTTTCGCCTGGCCGCTCTGAGGTGTAAGTCATTTACAAAAAATATTATGGCTTCTATGACTGCAGCAACTTCCATTTTGCTTAGTGATATTTAGCGCCAGTTTATCAGGAAGTGACGATTTTGTTCTCTTCGACTCATTGGATGGAAATGGTGCCTTATTCGCAACTGTGGATGGAAACATAGCCAATATTATGATAATTTGATTATTTGAGACTATAGACTATAAATCTGGGCTATGTGAGAATATTATCCTAACCTGAACAGTCTATGATAAATAAAGGTTAATAATCCATTTCATGTGTCATTTAACGTTACCACCGGCCACATCCTTTTGATTTTCCTGTCAAAAACGTCCAGAGTCCTTCACGTAAAAATCAGTCTGCAGGCTTTCATAGACAACTTAGGAAGTCGGGGGAGGTCTCATTTTTTAAGTTTCGTTTCAAGCTGTTCACACATTGGCAATGAAAAAACAATTAATACATGAAAATCCTTACAAATAGCCCCATTTAATGGACCTGAGCTAATATGAACTAACAATAAACAGTTGCATTTTTATTGGAGTCCCCCTGTAATCAATAATTATATCCCTTAAAACTCATCTTTGAACACCAAAATTACATATTTAAACGTTTTTTTTTCCTTGAAATATTTTCTTCATGCCTTAAAATAGAATGTAACTCTACACACTTGCCTCATTTAGTATATGCAGTTTTAATATATGCAAATTAGCCCCGCCTCCACTCACTCACAGCAGCTCAGAGATCCACTCGTTGACGTGATTGGTTACAAGGTAGTCCGGTTTTTCTCACAACTGCAAGTTTGCATCCCGCAATTCTGATATAAAAACTCGCAATTGTTTTGCATGTTATAAAGTCAGACTTTATTTTCGGAAACTATCACACAATTCTGAGAAAAAAGTTTATATCATGTAATTCTGAGAAAAAAAAGTCCAAATTGTGAGATAAAAGGTCGCAATTACCTCTTTTTTAATTGATTTTTTTATTCAGTGGCAGAAACAAGCTTCCATACTCAGATACTCATACTCTTACCCATATATAACAGCGTGTTGTTTTGTTACTGTTCAGTTCGAGTTTCAATGGAAATCAGATGAGATGGGAATATCATGCAAATCTTGAAGGAAAAAAAATTCAGTGGTTGTGGCCATTTTTTAAGCATACCTTTTCATAATATGAAAAACCAGATATATCTGAGTAACAGACTGGCCTTTTTTTCCAGTTTGTGTGGAAAAAGTGTGGGCTGTATGAGGTTCTTTTACAATTTGGCCTACTTCGACTGTTTCGGAATTAGAGTAACACATCACAATCCAGCGGCGACTGTTTGGTGGAAGAGATGCTACGTGTGATCACATGAATCTTTCATCTCTAACTCAAGCTTTTCTCTTAAACTGTTCCGTTGTCTTTCTAGTTGTATTATGTTTCTCAGCGCTCTGCCTCTGCCCAGCGGCAGCATATGCAGCGATGAAGATGAATTCATCTCAGCTCGCATCCGCTGCCAACCAAGGAGCCGAGCGGTCTGCTTTTATGCTCATCTCCCTATTGGGATATCTGTGACCTGCTTGGACACAAGCCATCCCTCCTCTTCACTTTGAAATGCTATCGGCTCATAACATTTGAGCCAGCTGTAAACTTTATTGTATTAGATTCAACTTTAGGGCAATCTTTTATTGTTGCTTATGGCAAGAACGTGTTGTGTTGGCTCTGGTTTTAGCAACTCATCATAAGTTCAGTGTAATTTTGAAGTTGTTTCACTTTTGAATTAGTTGTTTTATCACTTGTGGGAACTTGTTTGTCTTCTATGTCCCAGCTTTTCAATCAGCTTTCTGTGTGTGTTTGGATGCCATCCAGGTGTGTGAACATACCCACTTGAACCTAGCCAGTCCAACCTGTTTCAAAATGTCCCCACTATTTCTGAGACATGTGACAGGGATGTGACCTTAACTACACACCGCACAGGCTTGAATAACCGCTCTTATGATGATGACACAATATATGTTTAAAAGATTCATGTCAATGTGAATGACAGACCACACCCGTTGTGTAGACTTTGCTGTTTTACTGCTGTCATTACAATAAAGGAACTAATACATTGCATGACTGGTGCAGTATACATATTCCATTGCAATGTGCTGGATTATTAGAGTGTAGAAACAGCACATTTCACCTTTAAAATCACGTGTAAAATGGGGGTTTCACCACACTGCTTACAATACAGGAAACTGTGTGGTGTCTCTGATAACTACAGTTCAGTTCACATTTTCATGTTCAAGTGTGTCGGCAACAGGCAGGACATCTCTGGCAGCCCCTTTGCTACAAGCTGATGTCTTTATTCAAGCCAGAATAAGGCAGATGTTGACCCTTTGAGTGCTGCTGAGAAAGAAAGAAGGGGCCTCATTTACCCACAGACACTGTTATGTGCTGAACCGTTCAAGTCAGTTGATCCAGAGCACATTCGAGCATGCAGTGTCAGTGTTAAAGTATTTTGAGCACTGAGAAACTGAAATATGCTGATGTTTGAACCTTAATTTTCTTGCACTTTCAAGTACAGCTGTCTTCTTAAAGCGCAGCAGTCTTTTACTGTTGCAATTTGCTAAAACTCTTGATTGCACAGATTGCATTTTAAAAAATCCCTGTGTGAGCTCAAATTGACTGTCTTCATGTTTCATAAATTGTCACGAGCATATTACATATCATCAGTTTGATTGCTGAAGATTGCTTTTTTGTACCTTAACAGTCAGCATATAGTATATGTAATCAAGGTGGTAATTTCTTCCTTAGTCACTGGTTTGAATGATACACAAGTTTACACGTTTTTGCCAGTGGCGGAAGAATTCAAACCATTAA